GAGAGGGGACTCCCGGTAGAAGCACTTGTTCTCCGTCTCCATGTGAGTGAGGCGCGTGAAGTCGTTAGGGTACACGAATGAGAGGTAGACCTGGGGACATGACCACGCCACCGTCACCCTGGCGCAGAGCGGGCTCGCTCCGAGGAAGTGGGGACCAGCTGGGCTAGGAGCCATGGACCTGAGGCCACCGGCACGTCCCCTCAACACCAAGGTGACCCCCAGCATCTCAAACACCCCATGGGGCTTTTAACCCAAACCCATTCGGGTCAAGATGGGGAAGCTCAGCCTGATCCTCCAGCCAGGGACATTTGCTCCTGGATTTTAACCAGGTGGAAACATCCCTACCCTGGGGCGGTGGCAAAGCGCTCTGCTTCACCACATTTCCCATGGGAGCGTGACCCTGTCCCCGCCGCAGGGAGACACTTACAAATTGCAGGCCCTGGTAGCGGGCGATGGGGAAGTCCTTCACCACGTAGGTGGGGCTGTAGGCACAGGGCACCAGCACGTTCTCCACTCGGGAGGCCTCGATCGCAGGGGCTGAGGAGGAGCAGCCACGGCTCAGCCCCAGGCCATGCCCCACCACCCCCATAGTCCAACCCACCATATAGTCTGTAGCTCAAACCATCCCAGTGTCCCCCCCTACAGACTCCAGCAGGGGTGCTCTCCACCCCAGAGATGGGCAGAAGGTAGGAGGGAAGCTCTGGGGTGCCTGTGGCAGCGGGGTCCCGCCTTTTTCCTCCACCAAAACACCAGGGAGATGTGCGAGGGGCCGGTCCCAACCACTTACTGAGGAAGAAGGTGTCCCTGGGGTCAGCCTTCAGCATGTCCGCCCCGTGCTCATCTTGCTGCGCCTCCCAGAGGTAGCTCCCGCTGTGGCTGGCCAAAGTCTGTGGGATGTGCTCCACATGGTTCATCTTCAGGGCTGATTCATCTGAAGGTAGCGAGGACAGGGGCTGAGCCCCACAGGGCACACGCACATGGGGCGCTGTGTCCCAGGAGCATCCTCCCAAGGTGGCACTTGCCAACCTCTCCAACCCTCCCAACCAAGCGGGCTGGGAGGATGGTGGGTTCCTCCTACTCCCAGGGGAGCAAGAGGAGTGGAGGGCAAACCTAGCTCCTCCAGCCCTCTCACCCGGTCACAGACCCGCTGACTAATCAGCCTAATGATTATTGCCATCAGCTAATGAGCACCCAGAGGACAAGGATACAACCCATCTCCGGCCCGCAGCCCGGCTCCGATAACAGCATCCCTCACCTCGCTCAAAGGCAAGGGCTGGGAACGCTCGGGGCCTTAACTCGCAAGGACATGGGAATTAAACCGCGACCGCTCCTCGTCGAGGCGCAGGCAAACGCGAGACGAGTTGGTTTTGCTCCAGGGATGAGGGCGGCACGTTGTCCTTGGCTACCAACCAGCCCCCAGAGCTCCCCAAGGGAGGTCACCTTGCTCTGGTCACCTCGGCCACGCTCAGCGCTGCCTGCCCCAGCACCCAGGGGTGCTCCCTTTCCAGCAGCCGGGAAGCAGGCAGCTCCTGAAGCGAACAGCCCCCAGCTCCCGAGCCCCAAATTCTGCGGTGCCGGGTGGAGCCTGCTCGGCGTGCCGCTGGCGTACCCCTGGCCGCGGGGACGGGCTCCCCACGAGCGACGCGGCTTTGCCCCGGGACGCCGCTGGGGCCTGGGGGAGCCCGGGAAGTGGGAAAGAGAAACAGAAAGAGGCAGAGACTGACAGACAGCAGTCAGGGGTGGGGAATTTACCTGCCCTTCGTCCATCCCGCGGGCACCTGCATCGATACCAGCAATACCCCCCAGCCCTCTTCTCCCCATCGATCCCTGCCCCTTGCCGGTCCCCCCGCCCTGCCTTATCGACACCAGCCAGGGCATGTTTGATGACCAGTCCTCCAGCGTGTTGAGCACCGGGGCAGGACCCATCTATCAAGTCCTTTCTTGCTGCCAGGGAAGGGACAGGAAGCAGAAGATCTATAGATTTAATTACGCCTCGCGCCATCCATCCCCGCTCACACGACAGCTCCGCGTAACTCAGGGCCCGGCCGAGGAGCCAGCCCTCCGCGGTCTCATTAGCAGGGACGAGGCACCGGGAGAGCTGCGTTTCCGTGGCACGGAACCTCCACAGCCCATTTTTAGGAAGGTCCGCAGCACATGCCCAGTGTTAACCCTACCCCTCGCAGCCCCTTGCCTCCTTCCTTACACCCAGCAGAAGCTCGGGGGGGTTGAGAGGCCAAGATCTTCCCCCAGGACCTGATCCCCCAGGACCTGATCCCCCAGGACCTGATGCCCCCAGGACCTGATGCCCCCAGGACCTGATGCCCCCAGGACCTGGGAGCTCGCTCACCGTGGCTGCGGGCAGACACGCGCGGCCCTTACCCGTGTACAGAGAGATGTAGGAGGAGTCGATCACTTCAAACTGCAAGCTGGGGAGAAAACCTCGCCACTAAGAAAAAAAAAACCAGGAGATGGAGAATGAGCGGGAGGGTGGCAGGGGGTCAGGATGCTGCTGCCCAACCCCAGGCACCCAGGGATGGGGCCTCCCCCGTCCTCAGCACCCAGAAACTTGCCTGCACCCATCCCAGCCCCGACCTGGGAGAGAAACGAGGGAGAGGACTGATCCTGCCCCAGCACAGCCCCCGGCCCATCTCCTGCCAGGACCTGAGCCAAAGCCGATGGGCCCCGAGACCTACGCCACCTCCTCTCCTTCCCACATCTCGCTCCAGCGCGACGTGGAATGCACAGTAAGTTTGCATGGACTGAAGGGGGGGGGGGGGGGGGGATTTGAGGGGGTCCCGC